GGCGAAGGAGTTTCTTGAGAGAGGAGCGGCCCCACGAAGCCAAAAGTAGAAAACGTTCTTGGACTTGAACATATGGAGATTTGTGCCGTGAGTTTTTTATATCCAAATGAATTGTTTATTTGTAAATACTTAAAATTTTAATTTAATTTAGGTGTGGAAAACACTCGAACTTATAAGTGAGTAATTATAACTTGGATTCTCTTATTATAGTAGATTTTTTTTCTACTGGCTCTCCCCGTAGATGTAAGTATCAGTACTTGAACCGAACTATGTAAATTTTTGGTGTCCTTTATCATTTCTCATTAATTTCTTTGGTGCTTTCATATTGACTTAATTTGCAACATCCCATTAGATTCCGTGTTCGTTAATCTTACAACAGTTGGCTTTTGCACATCCCCATTCGGATTGGGTTTCGCCTAATGGATTCAAATTCAAGACATAATTCCAACATATTTAAAGTAGAAAAATTTATAGTTCTTTAATTTGTGCAAATTCTTACATGTATGCTCCATTTGTTTTATGGAAAAATGTTACATTTTTTGAAAATATTTTTCAAGAAGTCATTTTCCAAAAAAATGACAATACTTTCCGGTGTTTGGCTGAAATCTAAAAAAGAACTGGAAAACTATTTTTCGTCTTTTGGAAACGAAAATCTAATTTGATTTTCCTAAATACACATACATTATTTGAGCACTAGTGAAGTGTGTAAGGGCAAGCAGAAAATCAGGCACGGACACCAAGATCTCGAGTCCAACCTCGATGCACCTCGACACTAGACTTGGGCTCGGGCACTTGGGTCTCGAGCAAGAGCACAAGCATTGATCCCAGGTCTATAGAGGCCGAGCCTAAGGCCCCAGATCCCTAGCACTCAAGGGTCCACAAAGTTCAAGCGTAAGATCTCAATGACTAGGGCCCTTGGCGCTCGTGCTCGAGTTCAACATGGTCGGGCCTAATATGCCCGTGCTCGGATCCTCGACCCTTGTGTCCAGGTCTCCCACCCCCGAGCCCGTTCCATTGAGGTCGAGGCTTGGGACCCTGTGTTCGTGCCCTAGTTCATTAAGGTCGGGCCTGGGACCTTGGTGCTCATTTCCGGGTCCCCAATGCCCATGCTCAAGCATGAGGGATCTAGGAAAGTGCATTGGGTTCCGAGCCCGACCTTGATGGACCAGGGCTAGGGCCTTTATGGACTAGAGCTCGAGCACCGGGGATATGGACACGGGCATTAGAGTCCCGAGTTCGGCCTTTGTGGACTAGGGCCAGGGCACCAAGGATCGAGGATCAACCATCGAGGTCTCGAGCCCGGCCACATTAGACTTGTGCCTTGGTGTTGAGGTCCTAAGGCTGGCCTCGATGGATTAGGGCACGAGTGTGGGGGATCCCGACAGGAGCACTGGGGACGTCCAAGCGACGGGGACCAGAGCAAGACCTTTGGGGACCCGGGCTCGGGTGCCAGGGATCCAAGCACAAGTACCTAGATCCCGTGTTCAGCCTTGGGGGCCTAGTTTGGGTGCCGAGGTATCGGGTATGGGCATCGGGGCCGTTGGCTTGGCCACGATAGACTTCGGCCCGGGCGCCGTAGACCCGAACTGGCCTTGATGGACCTAGGCCTGGGCACAGGAATTGGGTCCCAGGCATCAAGGAACCGGGAACGAGCATAGGGTTCCCCAACTCCAGCAGAGAGTTTCCGGTCCAAATGTCGGTATCTAGTCATATTTTGAAAATTGATTTATGATGCTTTAAGGAGGAAATTAATTTCCTAAAATTTTAGCATAGGTTTTTCGTCGACTAGGAAAACATTTCCGTCGACTCATTTTCCTAAACAATCCAAACATCGAAAAATGAGGAATGAAAAATATTTTTCGCGAAACATATTACGGAAGCAAGTGATCGAATAATAAAATAGACAGAGCAAGAAAATAAATCGGATTGCATGGTTCAATCGTAGTGACCTACGTTCGCAAAGAAAGTAACAATTAATTTCACTATAGATCAAGTAATACAACGGAGATTACAACCACACTCGAGTCACTCAAATACTCTCAGTGTTTCCCAATCCCTAATTACACCCAATAAATCAAATAGTGCTTAATCTCACAATTCCTCACGAAATAATCTCTCAATCTCACGAAGGAATTGCACAAATTCTTACCATAAGAATTTAATCGACTACAACACACTCGGATATTTTCAGAATGTAATTCACAAGTAGAAGCTTCTCTTTGATGATCCTACAAATAACACCCTCTTCTTATTTATAGGCAAGAATTGGATCCAAAATAGGGAATATCTTTTTTGGAAACCTTCTCCAATTAGGAAACCTTTTCCAACTAGGAAACCATTCAATTAGTAAACCTATCCAAAATAGGAAACCTACTTGAATTAAGAAGCTTACATTTTTGGACTCAAAATCAAGACATAATTTTAATAACAAGTAACATTCTCTTCTTATGTATAGGCAAGAATTGAATCCAAAATGGAAAACCTCTTCTTAGGAAATTTTCTCCAACTAGGTAACCTATTAAACTTGAATTAGGAAACTCTTCTTTTTGGGCTCAAAATTGATACATAATTTTAACAATTAGATGGAGCTTTCAAGAGAAAGAATTCTGAATACCCATAGTAGTCAAGTTTGATTGTGAGAGAGGGCAATGATACCGCTCAATGTACCAATTCTTCCGCACAAAATAACCAGCGGAAGCATTCGCATCCCTCCATTCTTGGCTTCCCTTCTTTCCTCTCCATCACACACTTGAAGCTGGTAAGAAAGGATCTTCCGGTGTGAAAAGCAGAGCACGTTCGAACAGAGAGAACACCACGACCTCTTCACGCTGACCATCGCCGTGAAAAACTCACGTCATTTCTTGTGTCTGTTCTGCGACATTCATACACCTACCCACTTATTCCTATATAAAAAAATACGAGCTTTTGGTCCACCGTTGGCACGGTCCTTGGGGGAAACAACAACAACTGCGCTTCCGCACGGAGTCCGCCGCACGTGTGTGAAGCTCCGACCAATTCCCGTCGAGTTCGATCGAAACTTCGTCGATCCAAGAAAGAGGTTCATGGGGGAGCCCCGATCGCTTGCTTCAGCCGATTGAGGTGCCTGCCGGTTCCGACTTCGGGATCGAAGGGTACTCGCGCTTTGCTCGCGGCGGGTTTGGATTCGCGCTTTCTCCCCCGATCCTGTTCTGGGTCGGCGATCGGCGGGCGTTGTTCATCTCCACCCGGTAAGCTGACTGCCGACGCTTCGGATTTTCTCTCGTTTCCGCGTCTCGTTTTGAGTCGAATTTGGCTTGCATCTTCGAGTTACTGCGAAATCCGTTTCTGGGTTTTGCTTCTTTGACTTTTGTCTGATTGCTTTTGGGGGATCTTGCTCGGTTTCTTGATTCCATTCCTGTTCGCGGTTCTTTTGATTCAGGTGATCCATGGTCTTGCGGATATACAGGTTATAGCATGCCCGGCGTCTGAATTGGTGTTGGCTTCTAGTCGCTCTGTCAAAAAATTCCGATATTGTCCCGTTAAACGTATCACTGAGCTCGAAATGTCGTAACTTGTGACCGGAATTTGGCAGAAACGATCTTCTATGTGGTGAAAAAGCTGCAACAAGAACAACCCTTGATCTCCCTGTTGAAGTGATTGGGAACATACTGTCACAGCTCAAAGCTGCGAGAGATGTCGTGGTCGCTTCCACGACTTGCCGGAAATGGAGAGAGGCTGGGAAGAAGCACCTTCGAGCACTCTCCTTCGATTCCAATGATTGGCCTGTGTACCGCGATGACGTGGTCTTCGGTCCACCCAAAACTCGAGACATAACACCGACCACGTGAAACCGAATAATCCTTATGCATGTGACTTGATCTCTAGGGTGCGTTTGTTTCACTGAAAACTTCTTGATATAGGAAAATGTATTTCGTGAAAATCATTTTCAAGAAAAGTAATTAATTTTCATTTGTCTTGAGGTTTTGAGAGAGTGATTTCCTTTTTGTCAATAGGAAAATTTATTTTTCCCCAATCTAAACTTGTTGTTTTCAGTCTATAAAAAAAATCTTCTTTAGATCAATTAATTTTCCGCCATCCGAATGCCAAAATGTCGGAAAATAATTTCTCGAAAATAGTTTTTTCAAACACACCAATGTTTCGTCAAAGTCAAAGATGTAAATCCACCAGGGAATTCCGACCAAAAAAAATCAGCAAGGGAAAATCCAAGTTGGACTTTGATGATTGATTTCGTGTTTGACTAAATTTGGACTTTGTGTGGACATCGGAATATCGTGCAAGGAGATATGAACAAATTAGTTTGGTCACTTTCACGTTATCATAACACTTGTATATATACAAATCTTCCATTGGCTATTTTGTCCTTGAAGGACCTTCTGTTGTGGAGATGTGTGCCGTGACTTCTGGCCTATGGCCGCGACAATCGTGCAATTACATCCGGGAGTAATTTCAAAAGTGGTTCTGTACCCGCACATAAAAATTTCACGAGCCGTTTGAACATTTGAAACTTTTTCTTCGTGGATTTCACTCGATGATTTGTGCAATGCATCCAATTGAGATAGCTAGTCATGCCGAAAGTGTGAGTGTTTGGGCGAGGCATGTAATTTCCCAGTGAAGTAAGAACCGGCATTTGGGCCGAATCGCATAAATCTCTCATTCTTTTTTTGTTTGGTTCCTCGTTGATATTTTTGATAATTCCATCACCTTGTGTTAGATTTTGATGGCAAGATCCGTCAACCATTGCGTTAATTCGCAGCAAAATGGATTTTGTGAATTGATTCTCCACTAAAAGTTCTGTTTGCAGAATATCATGGAATTGATACTCCCTCACGGAAGATTCAGGGGAACTGGATTCTCTTTGTCAGGAATAAAGGGAAACGTAGTAAAGTGTCTTGACTTCATGTAAAGTTGGACAATAATGGGATGTTTCATCTGCAGGATGCAAAACAGTTCCTTAACTCTCTCTCTCTCTCGGATGAGCAATCGTTCAAAGTTCTGCAGCATGAGCCGCATGGGAACTTCATTAATCAGCAGATGATACGATTACAAGAGGGACCAAGATCAACATTTAGGATCGGCAACATGGTCATTAACCACTAACTGCAACTGTTTGGACCTGTCGTGATCGCCATTGTTTTCCAAATCCCACTTGCTTGGTTCTTCCACGACTCCTCTTTTCCTATACTTGCAGTAGAGTATCAGTTGCAGCACGCCCAAAGGACTCCCCACCAGATTAGGTGACTGAATACAGTATAGAACATGTCAATATCACATTACAAAATTCGGCGGGACCTCCCTCGAGTCCCAGGAAAATGCACATGTTTTTAGTATGGATGATTCTTTCCATTGTACCATTCTTAGAATGAGTCTATATGAGTATGTTTTATATAACATGAAAAGACTGATTAATAGTTGTACCAACCGCGAGGAAGAGATCGCAGCCCAGTAGTCCGTAGGCCATCCAAAGGGAACTAGCGAGGAATGAGAACAATGACAAGTAGAACGGCATGAATTCCACGCTCTTTGTCAGTATCACTTGTTTCTGCAACACCAAAGCGGATAAGAACCATTACAAGATGTTAGTCACGTACTCAATGTTAGTATAGATGTGCTGCATGGACGATGTGAAATAGTGTGTTGACCACTGGTGCCTAATTAAATTATTAGATAATGAGAGGCAAAAATGAAGAACTCGCATCGACAAATGAGTTGATGAGTCGATTTATAGCCACCTCTAACTGATCATCAGTAAATGTCTCTTTCACACAAATTCATAGATAGATTATTAACAAGTATATCAGAGCCAGGACCTTCAATTAGCATATGGAAGTCCACGAGTCTTGCTTATAGCTATGCATATTGCACTTGATCGAATGAGTCGATGGTAGATGAGATAAATACCAGGGCTTATCTCGGTTGTTAACAAGTAATATAACTATGAAATGATCTGTGTGATTGTTAACACGAGAACTCGTATTGTTTATCAACTTAAGCAAATTTGAAGATCAGTTGTTGGCAAATTATTGATAGAAGAAAAACATGTTGGTCACTTTAATTACTCAGCTTTCCCATCTTTGTATTGGTCTGTTGCTATGGATAATGTATGCATGGAGACATGGAAGAAGTGGACTTACAACAGCTACCAATGGAGATCCATACATCGCGACTGAGGCCACGAGTCCTATACTTCCTACAAATACTTTACGGTGATGGTGATCATGAATTATAAAAGTTGATATGATGGCAATGATAGTGAAAATTGTGAGCACTCCCAGCGCCATCGCAGCCACCTTTATCTGTAAGTATACATTTCAAAGATCAGAAAAATTTATTCCCCTGTTGCATTGCAACACCAGCACAATAAGCTAAAATACTGAGCTTTTATGCATATAAAAAAAAATTCTGTCACCGATATAATTTGAATGAACGGACAGCAGCAAACTAAATGGACTCATCTTGCCTTCTTTTTCGTGGAAGCGAACCAAAAGTATATGGCAATGAAAGAGCACTCGAGAAGAATCCCGACACCATTGATTGTGACGACCGGAAAGTTTTCCCATCGGTAGCTCACGATGGGAAGCCCGTACCAAGTGTAAAGGAGGCAGTTCGACAACGCCAGGATGTATGGAATGCAAGAAAACTCCTCAGTACTCTTCCTTCTTATGACCCTTGCAAAAGTCAATCTGCAACACGATACAATTATTAGGGTAATTGCAATCTGATTATTACATGGGAGCCGCGTATAATGACAATGAAACAGCAATGGAGCATTGAGTTCATTGAAACATTACATGGGAGCTGCATATAATAACAATGAAGCGGCATTTCCTGCAAGAATAGAAACAACAATGCACACACTCGATAAATATGTATAAACCATAGATAATTACAAAAAACTTATATGCTGATCTTGAACTTGGAAGAATGAACATAAAAGGGAAAGATGTATGGTAATGTACCCATCACTCCAATGGCAAGACGCAATTTATCTCCCATAGTTTTGCACTGTCAAAAACAGATGACGAACCCTAGGATGAACGATGTGGTGTCTACAGACACTAGAGAGACTCTGAAACTATGCACTTGTTAGGAGCTTTTACAAAGTGCTTTGCGTGGACTGTTACTTCCCACCTCAGGCTATTTATATCTCAGAAGACACAGGAAAGGGAATAGTAATATTATTTTATGAATTATAAAGGTGTAAGTGCTGTCTACGTCTACAATGCAGATCGTGGATGGGTTCTTGAACTTGTGGATGGAAATCGATCAGCTCACAAAAGATAAAAGGGGAATTTTTATTTGCTCAAATGCTAAGTGCAGAATGCTGTCGTGTTTGGACAACGCGAAAAGGGAACTATATTTGCTGGTTTTGGTTCTGGTTCTGTACCATGAGCGCCAGCTACCGCAGAGAACTTCAATTCGTTTGTATGCCATAAGTTCAAAAGACAAAAGGCACGGTCTATTCCGACAGAATCATTCCAAGCACTCTCGGGCGTATCCATCTTGCGGTCACGTGATATGCCGAGCTAGTTTTTGCTCGTCAAGCTAAGTCTAATCTTCCCAGTTCGATTACTGGGCGAGACCATTTGAGTATAAGATTAGGAAATTTGCGAAAGATCACTTCTGTTTGGCGCGACAAGGAAGAATAAGAAAAACACGAGACCCATCAGTTTTCCGAGCCGCCAATTCTCCGCCGACTAAATCGACAGATTGCCATGGATTATACATGCATCTACATTAGACGCCATGTTTTTGTATTGCATGTCCATTCAAGGATCAATGTCTCTATTCGTCTAGTTCCCCTTTGCTTGCGTCTTTGGCCCCTACGTGCCTTATAATATCAGTGGAAACTGTAGACATCCACATCAAAATGGAGAATATGGCTTCACCCATTTTCCTTCGATTAGTTTGAAAGTTTGAATATAACCTCGAATTAGAACTTTTCTTTATATCTCAAAAATTTATGATTAGGTTTGCTTGTTGGGATTTTCCCACCTTAAGAGCTACTCACTAGGAGAAACTTTTTAATTTCACGTATTTTAATTGTAGTAGAAATGTGAACATGAATCAGGGACAAAGACATGCCCCACAGTTTTATTGCCATTGGAATTTAGCATGCTGTCTTAAAAAGGTCAATGCTAATGGAAACACATAAGCACCTTCAGAGGACAATCAATCGATTATAATGTACAAAAAATACGTGGAAACTCAATAAAGGGGAAAAGTACCAAAAAAAGTCATAAACCTATTGCATTGATATCAATTCAATTATAAATATTTCAATTAAATCAATTCAGTTCTAAACATTTTCACATTTGTACCAATTCAATCCATCCGGTCAATTTAGGTCGAAAATCGCCAACGTTGACGCCGGCCGTCCTATGTGGCACGGTTAGTGCTGACGTGGAAATTTTTAATATTTTTTTTTGAATTTTTAATGATTTTTTTTCGTTTTTACTTTTTTTCCTTCCTTCTCCTCACTTGGGCTTGTGGCCGGTTGCCATGGCCAGCGAGGGTGTCACGGCCCTCGCCGGCCACAAGGGAGGGTTGCCCTCGCTAGGGAAGGCGAGGGCTGGACCCTTGTGGCCTGGGCATGGGCGGCCATCGTCGAATCTGGTGAGGGTTGGACACTCGTGGCCTAGGCGAGTGTTGCCCTCACCAAATCCAGCGATGGTCGCCCTTGCCCGGGCCACGAGGGTCCAGCCCTCGCCCTCGCCGGCGAGGGCAACCCTCTCCTGTGGCCAGTCGCCGGCCATGGCGACCGGTCACAGGCAAGGAGAAGGAAGGAAAAAAAAAGAATTTTTTTTAAATTTAAAAAATTATTAAAATTTGTCCACGTCGATGCCGATCATGCCACGTAGGACGGCCGGCATCCACGTTAGTTATTTCCGGCCTAAATTGGCCGGATGGACTGAATTGGTACCAATGTGAAAAGGTTTAGAATTGAATTGGTCCAATTGAAAGATCTAAGATTGAATCGATACCAATGCAATAGGTTTAATACTTTTCCCCTTAATAAAGTTTCCGTCGATAAGAGGAACCCTATTGGTACCGAGCCTCTTAAGATTTCTCCATTGCTCAAAACGAACAGAATCGGAAGTGTTCTCACACTTTCCAGACGAGTTTTAGGATTCCATTGCAGGATCAAAGTCTTGAGATTCGATGCCACTCTTGTCATAAATTTCTAGACTCTGGTACACTTTTTCCTCGTGTCCATCTTCCTTTGGTTAATCCGATAGGAAGGTGAACTTGACTCGATAAGCTTTTGTTGGGATAAAAACAACAAAAGTGTCATAACTTTTCTTTCACTCACTTAAGTGCCACAAATTTTAAAATCGATCACTTAAGTGCCATCGAGGATTTGTCTTGCCAAAAAATCTAACATGGACACCAGTCATCTGGTGCTGATATTGACAATTTTTGTATTTTTTTTTTGAATTTTTGAATTTTTTATTTTTCCTTTCCTTTTTTCTTTGCTTTTTTTTGTGTGTCGACGAGGGTCACCAGCAACCCTTGCATGAAGCAAAGGCCTTGCCCACGGTTGGCGGGGCCGCAAAGGCCCTCGGCAAGTCTATCGCAGCCTCCTTGGCCCACGAGCAACGGTTCGAAGGCCCTCGCCAGATCTAGGCTAGGGCCTTCGCGACCCCACTAGCCGCGAGCGAGGCGGCCTCGTCAAGATCTGGCGAGGGCCTTCACGGCCCTACCGGCCTCTAGTGAAGGCCTTTGTGGCCTCATCGGCCAAGCACGAGGGCGCGAAGGCCCTTGCCAAACTGGGCAAGGGCCGCCTCACCCATGGCTAGCGGGGCCGCGAAGGCCCTCACTTGTGGCCGGCGATGGCCTCACCCAAGGTCTTTGCGGCCAATAAGGGTCACTGGTGACCCTCACCAGCACAAAAAATAGCAAAGAAAAAAAAAAGAAAAGAAATTTTTTAAAAAAAATTCAGGTCGGAATGAAAAATTAAGTAAAAAATCCACATAGGATGATTTGCCAGAAATGACACTCAAATGATCGATTCTACTCCGATGTGGTATTTAAGTGAGTGAAAAAAAAAAGTTATGGCACTCAAATGAGTATCGTACGAAAATTATGGCACTCAAGTGAGTATCGTACGAAAGTTATGGCACTTATGCTGTTTTTATCTCGGCTTTTGTCAGAGTCAAAAAGAAAAATGTCATGGGGTCTTAAAATGGAGGCCCTTTCTTATCTTCAAATCGACCAACCACATATATTATTGGTCCTAAAGTGGAGAGCCACCTATACTTAATCACTAATTAATCAACTACATCGCGCGGGTCGTGGTGGCACTATCAATTCAAATTGGATCCTTCCTTGCGACGTTGATCTCAGCATATGCTTTTGGTTTTGGCTGTCTTCCATTTAGTCCTTCTTGCATCATCATCATCGACGGATTACATTATTCTTCATCGTCAAATCGCAATTTGTGGGGTTCGGATGCTTCGTTTTGGGACATCGTTCCTCCACATGGATGTTCTCCGGTTTTGGGAATCACTTGTTTAATGTTCGTCGCCTCTTGTTTTGGGGTTGCCCCTCCCAATCACTTCCCTATTCCACCTTGCAAGTCCCACTTTCGTCTCTTGCGTTTCTTTTATTCTCCGTATGAACTTTTCTTTTTTCTCGTTTGGGTTTCCATCGAGCAAGCTTGTGCCAAGTTTATCTTCAGCCGCATATTTTCTCAACGCATGCCGCCTGTGGGTTTACACTCAAAAAAAATTTCGATATTTTTCACGAAATGTACGATCGAATGCGATGGCCCACCCCCACGAATGGTCATCCGTCTTCCATCGAATACAAATTGGAGTCGTGTCGGGAATGAAACTCTGTTCAACTTGTGCCTTGAGCGTCGACCATCAGATGAGGAAAGTCCCCTCGACTCTTTGACATTGGCGGCGGTTCTACAACAAGGGACTCGTCGATTCGAACCTTCTGATAATGAGTGAAATGAGGAACTATTCTCAAATGAAAAAAAAAAATTATAATGAGTATGACATGTATCTTTGTGATAACGCTCGTATTGAGTGGCTACACCTGTTACCCATTTTCATAAATCGAGTTTTATAAATGTGGTCAAATTGGAGACATGTACTTTTATGATAACATTCAGATTGAGTGGCTACACCTATCGCTCATTTTTATAAGTCGAATTTCATAAATGTGGTCAAATCGGAGATGTGTACCTTTATGATAATGCTCCGATTGAGTAGCTACACCTATTACTTATTTTCTTAAGTCGAGTTCCATAAATGTGATCAAATCGGAGACATGTACCTTTATAATAACATTTATATTGAGTGGCTATATTTGTTACCCATTTTCTTAAGTCAAGTTTCACAAATTGGTCACATCGGAGGCATGAACTCAATTAGGCTGGAAATTAAGTTGGCACGAGCATTGTTTGACCGGGACCTCAGTACCAATAATAAGCTTGCCACTTATTCAAGTGTACTGCTAATTCGACTTTCACGGTTGACACACAAAAGTGGATGGATGGTTGAAGTTCGACCATCAGAGACATCGACGTTGACACTGTTTACATCTCTTCGCACTCGAGCGTTCATTTCCAAAAGCGAGTAAGGAGAACATATTCTATTCTAGCAAAAAAAAAAAGGAGAACATATTCTAAAGAACACAAGTAAATTCCTTTTGTTGGTGATGATGTCGAATGCATCTGATGTATCTTGATGTGGACACATGACATTCTGCAACTAATTGGGATTGCTGATAAAGCTAGCACAAGCCTTGACAAGGAAGTAAATCAAATAGCGTAATAATTAGAAGTTACCTGAATAAAGTCCCACATTAAACGTACATGGATGAGTTAAGTCGCTTATAACGTACGATACCACGGTTTCTAATGTCTAGCTCGATTAGGCTTCCTTCAATTGGAAGCTTGTTTGTACTTGTATGATTCTCTCTTCTTCACTTTAATCATGAACTTTATGCCAAATTTACGGAATATATATTATCTACACGCTTCTCACTCGGTAGGTCGATTTCCTCATAAATGCTCATGCAAGACGATGGGTATAATAACTCGATTCTTTTCCTCTTTCCTAGTAACAGGAGTTTGATATTTTGAGTCAA